TTAAAAAAATTTTATTTACTTAGAAGCATTCAGAATGTCAACAAAACAGCTGCAACTGTTTTTTTTTTTTTTTTGCAATTACAGAGTGGTATTCAGTTAACAGAACAGCAATTATTTTATATAAGCTGCATCAGAGACAACTGAAGATGAAAAAACTACCATCCTCATATAAAACTAATTTGTGCTGTGCACTAACAAGAATCTGCTTTAAATTTCCATGCCAATTTACAGCCCCCATACTGTATCAGGCAAGGTTAGTGGCTATTGAAAATACCACCAGGACAGGGCTATCTAAAGACACATTCGGTAGTGGTTAACTATACAAAAAAAGACAGTGTACAGTTTAAAAACAAATGTTACACAGTCTTGCATTTAAGTTTTTTTCTTTAAAGGGAGTGAGTTGTGTACAGGTGGCTTAAATGCTTTGTAGATAAGAAAAAAATTGCGCTAGAACCAACTTATTCATCATCATCTTCTTCTTCATCTTCATCTTCTTCTTCTTCCTTCTTTTTCTTGCTTTTCTCAGCCTTGACAACTCCATTTTTTGCTGAATTAGGCTTTCCTTTAGCTCGATATGCAGCAATATCCTTTTTGTATTTTTCCTTCAGCTTCGCAGCCACCTTTTTATAAAACTGCTTGTCAGCTACAGTAGTGTTATTCCACATCTCTGCTAGTTTCTTCACAACATCATCAATGGACAGGCCAGGATGTTCTCCTTTGATTTTTGGGCGATTCTTAGAGCAGAACACGAAAAAGGCCAAAGGAGGACGCCTGGGTGCACTGGGATCCTTGAACTTTTTTTTCTCCCCTTTAGGAGGGATACAGGTTTTCATTTCTCTTTTATAACCGGCCTTGTCCGCCTTTGCCATATCTTCAAATTTTCCTCTCTCTTTAGCAAAATGGTCTTCCACATCTCTGAGCACTTCTTAACAAATTCTGAGAAGTCGACTTCTTCTTCTCATGCTCCTCCTGACAAGTTTGCACAAAAAATGCATATGATGACATTTCGCCTCTCAGCTTCTTAGGATCTCCTTTGCCCATGTTTAGTTATTTTTCCTCAGCAAGGTACAGAGTCGCCCAGTGCCTGTACAGCTCTCACTTACCCCAGCACTGTCTCTATGGAGCTCAATGTACTGCAATCCCTTGTAGGTGTTTTGACCTCGTGTTAAGTAATGTCCCTTCCTGACCGGCCCAGAAACTTTGAGGTATTTGGAGGACTTCAAGAAAGGAGGAATTTACCCAATTATTACAAGTAGTAGAGGCACGATCTGATGATAAATCCTTGACTTGGCTTTCTATCCTGAAGAAGCTTTTAAAAGTTTAATCTAGGCTGGGTGCGGTGGCTCACACCTGTAATCCTAGCACTTTGGGAGGCTGAGGCGGGTGGATCATGAGGTCAGGAGAATGAGACCATCCTGGCTAACACGGTGAAACCCCGTCTCTACTAAAACTACAAAAAAAATTAGCTGGGAGTGGGCGGGCGCCTGTAGTCACACTACTCGGGAGGCTGAGGCAGGAGAATGGCGTGAACCCAGGACGCGGAGCTTGCAGTGAGCAAAGATTGTGCCACTGCACTCCAGCCTGAGTGATGGAGCACGACTCCATCATAAAAAAAAAAAAAGGTCTAATCTAAAATGTCTAATAAAAAAAGGAGCCTATATGGACAATCACTATTCCTGTTGCCTTTTACATAAATAATCAGGTCAAACACAACAAGGCTAAAACTTATATTGCAAATAAAATTGACCTATGATTTTTCTTTGGCAGAAAAGGGAGATTGAAGAGAGAAAAATTATCTTTCAGAAGAAAATTATAGCGTAGTTGTTACTAGATTCTAGTCCGGACCATTGTTTTTGAGTTTCAAAAATTACTATTTACTTGCAATTTGGACTTAATTATTTCCTGGCTATAGTAAGTCTCTAAAGCAGAACCTGAATTTAATTTTCTTTCTTAGTTGGCTCCCTAATGGAATAGGGTTTTTTTCCCCCTACTCTAGTATACAAATTCTCTTTTTGATTTTAATTTTTGTGTGCATTATATTTCTACTATTCAAATTATTGATGCTATGAATCTCTCATTGTTTTACTTCTTCCAAGAAAAGTAAAATTATGAAATTCTGAAGACTAGAGATGATTCAGCAAGCAACAGCAACTATAAGTTGATGACTTGTTCATTTGGTTACTCTTAGGACTAATTTCTTTATTCTATTGCGGTTTTCAAGTTGTTGTGATTATAATATTAGGTTGGTGCAAAAAAGTAATTGCGGTTTTCACCATTACTTCTGGTGGTAAAAACTGCAACTTCTTTTTTTGTGCCAACCCAATAATAAACATAGTTTATTTTCTTGGCTATTAAGTCACTCATGATTTGCATTTCTGCTTGCTTTAGATCAATGACTAAGGCCAAAATACTGATTTCCCAGTGAGATGATTTATCATTCGGGAGAATAGCATGTAGCCTTGTGTTATGACCTACCTCATGTTGTCAGCAAACTGGCCTGGCTGCAGTAACAAGGTTTTTTTCCCCCACCGAGGGACATGACTCCCTGGAATAAGCCTTCCCATTGACAAGGAATGAAGAACATCTATCCCCCTAACCTAGCAGATTGATCAGCAGTGCTTCCATGGGAAGATTTTTTTTTTTAATCAAAAGGCGAATGTGATAATCTACAGGTCACATTTGGCAGTTTAGTTTAAAAGTAAACAGGCTCTCCAATTAACCCACCTTAGGAAGGTCTTGTGATTCATGGTGAAATCTTGTCCCTGAATCTTACCATGAGTCTCTCAAACTGTTGACACAGTGATTAATGCATAACCCAGTGACGCTGAAAAGGACACTGACTTATTTCTGAATCTTAGAGTTTTACTGATGGTCTTACATGGAGACATTTAAGCCTGTATGTTGCGATCTATATCCAATAATTGTAACTTCTGTATTGTACCCTTCAATGAGAAAGGAAAGCTCTGGTGTGAGGAGTCCCTCTCCCTTCTCCTAACCTCTTCTACAAAACAGGGGTTTCTAGCTCCTGGGGTAAGGACCCGTGCCAATCCATGGCCTTTAAGGAAATGGGCCACCCAGCAGAAGGTTAGTGGTGGGTGAGTGAGTGATGCTTCATCTATATTTACAGCAGCTCCCCATTGCTCGCATTGCTGCCTGAGCTCCGCCTCCTGTCAGATCAGCAGCAGCATTAAATTCTCATAGGAGCACAAACCCTATCATAAACTCCACATGCAAGGGATCTAGGTTGCGTGCTTCTTTTGAGAATCTAATGCCTGATGATCTGTCCCTGTCTCCCATCACCCCTAGATGGGAACGTTTAGTTGCAGAAAAACAAGCTCAGGGCTCCCACTGATTCTACTTGATGGTGAGTTGTATAATTATTTCATTATTTCATTATCTATTACAATGTGATAATAATAGAAATAAAGGGCAGGATAAATTTAATATGCTTGAAACATCCCCAGATCACCTTGCCCCCGACCCCATCCTGGTCCGTGGAAAAACTGTCTTCCACGAAACTGGTCCCTGGCACCAAAAAGTTTGGGGACCTCTGCTATAAAAGCATTTCAACTTGTGACTGGTGTGGTGGCTCACGCCTGTAATGCCAGCACTTTGGGAGGCTGAGGCAGGCAGATCACGAGGTCAGGAGTTCACAACCAGCCTGGCCAGCATGGTGAAATGCTGTCTCTACTAAAAATATAGAAAATTAGCCAGGCATGGTGGCACACACCTGTAGTCCCAGCTACTTGGGAGGCTGAGGCAGGATGATTGGCTGAACCCAGCAGGTGGAGGTTGCAGTAAGCCAAGATTGTGCCACTGGACTCCAGCCTGGGCAATGGAGCGAGACTCCATCTAAAAAAAAAAAAGGGGTTTCAATTTGTAAAAAACTCCAAACACTCCCAACTTTGTTGGTGTGTTTTATTGAGTCACTCCTCACATTTGGCTTTCAATAAATCATTACCAAATTATTTCTTCCTGGCCAGCACTGTGGCTCATGCCTGTAATCCTAGCACTTTGGGAGGCTGAGAGGATCACTTGGGTTGGGAGCTGGGAGATTCACTTGAGCTCAGGAGTTCAAGACAAGCCTGGGCAACATAGTGAGACCCTGGCTCTACAACAAATTTAAAAAATTAGCCGATGTGGTGGCATGCACCTATAGTCCTGGCTATTTGTGAAGCTGAGGTGGGAGGATCACTTAAGCCCAGCAGGTTGAGGCTGCAGTGAGCTGTGATTGTGTCACTGTATTCCAACCTGGGTGACACAGCAAGATCTTGTCTCAAAGAAATTTATTTATTCCTAAACAGCCTTGATTTTGGTTGATAATGGAGCCTGTGGAATCAGGTTTGTACATCATTGAGCACCAGTCAAGAAATGACAGTAAGCATGCCTCATCATTTGCCAAGTGGTGATGGTTTTTGTGCTAACCAGCTCAGCACACTGAGCCTAAACCTCCCTCAAGACGGGCAATAGGGGCTTCATAAGAGACTCACTTTTCCTGTGTGTGTTCCTCTGCAGAACTAATGACAGAGTCCACGCCTCGAACTCGCCAGCTTGGCTCAGCCTGTTCCTTCTGGCTGAGTGAGCTCTGTCTGCACCTTGGAATGGATATTCGGGATTTTCCTGTCCATTCATGCCACCTACTTGAAAATGCTTTTATTTTCTGACATTCGATCCTTCTCCCTAATCAGCAGGCCAGCCCTGCCCATTACTACTTCAAGTTCTTGTCTCTGGAGATCTCGGTGATCTAGAGCTCAGTCTACCGTACTCACTTTCTAAGGGAAATGAGGAAATTTGAAGATTTCTACTGAAAAAAAAAGGATGCTTTTGCACTGAGATACCCAATCCCAGACCCAGGTACCTGGCTTGCATCTGCTCATCACACACACAGCAACATACTCCAACTGAGACTGAGCATGATTCGGGGAAAGGCAGTCATGACATAGTGTGCCTGGAGAAAGGCCTGACTTATTTTGGGGTCATAGTTGGAAATTTATACTTACACAAGGGTCAACTAAGGTATTGTTGTGAGACTCCAGTATTCTCTGTTGAAAAAAACAGAAAGATTGGTATAATATTGAGTGTGATTTTTCATTAACCCCACATTCGAACAGACTTCTTTATTTTTAAGGGATTCATGCCACAGCCCTTCTTTTGTTTCATGTCTGCTTTTATGGGCCTGCACATCTAACTGAAGAATAAAAAAGCACTAAATTGTGTGTCAGTGACAGTTTGGTCCAATGCAAGTGCCATTTCCTGGCTCTCACACCCCAGGCAGGCCTTCATGAAGCCATTCAGGGAGACTGAGCTGGAGCAACTCTGTTGGTCCTCCTACTTCAAGGGGCCTGCAGGCATGTGTGTCTACATTTGGAAGTGTCCAGGTGCAGTAGCTCACGCCTGTAATCCCAGCATTTTGGGAGGCTGAGGAGGGCAGATCACAAGGTCAAGAGATCGAGTCCATCCTGGCCAACATGGTGAAACCCCGTCTCTACTAAAAATACAAAAATTAGCTGGGTGTGGTGGTGCACGCCAGTAGTCCCAGCTACTTGGGAGGCTGAGGGAGGAGAATCGAGAGGAGAATCGCTTGAATCCAGGAGGCAGAAGTTGCAGTGAGCTGAGATTGCACCACTGCACTCTAGTCTGGTGACAGAGCTAGACTCTGTTAAAAAAAAAAAAAAAAAAGAAAGAAAAAAAGAAAAAAAGGAAGTGTCATTCCATCCAGAGAGGCTGCAAAGGGAATTGGCTGACTCTTCCTCCACAGCTCCCAGTGACCACAGGGCCCAGAGTCCTGGACGCCATGCAGGTGTCCCAGGAAGAACTCCACCCCTTTCTGCAGCTCTCCAGGAACACATCTTTGAAGACAAAATGCCTCCAAGATCCCCAGTACTGTAGCTCTTCTCCTGAAGGTAAGCACCTCTCACTTTCTCCTGAATCTTGAGAGCTTGCTTTGACCTAGGGTATCTGTGGGATGAAACAATGCCTGCTTCAGCTTTTACCTGTAGCTCAGGGCAGAGAGGCCTTAGACAAACCACTCAGTGTGATCAAAGGCACAATGATAGAAGAGGTGGCCATATTACCACCTGCCAGAAGCAATCTAGGCCTTTTGGCTAAGGTAAAGTATAGTATCTTAGTGGCCTAGAATCTCCCACTCCATCCCATTAGTTATTCACGCAGGTAAGACAATGAAGTTGACAGAATCCTTCAGGTTCATCCTTTTGGCCTCCTTTGTTTTGCATTATTTCATTGGTCAAGGCCTATCACCTGGAGCTTTGCAGTGGTTCCACAGTTGTTTGTTGAATGGATACATAAGTGCATGAACAAATGAACACAATTGTCACTTGGGACAAGAGATTTCTCCCTCTTCCACAGCCAGTAAATGATTAGCTTGGACTTTTACGTCTTATTATCCTGGAGTATCTCAGCTATCGCCAGCAGGTTGAACAAAAAACTTATCAGCAGGAAAGCTGGCAACAGTAGCACTTACCACGTGGTGCTGAGAGTGACACAAGTGTTAGAAACAAAGGGGAGAGGAAGGAAGATAGACCTTCCGGGGGGACCCTCTGAGAACTGAGGCAATTGCACCTCTAGAGCTGTGGGCCCTCAGGGAATGGAGAGAGGGTGCCTGTGATGAAGGCATGGGAGATGGCCAACTCAATGGATTAGCCCAGACTGCATCAGCCTTGACTGTCTGGCAGCTGGCAGACATGTTTGGTTTTAATAATTATATCAAATAATGTCTCTTTCTCCAGAAAACCCAGTGGATACAGAGCCTAGTCACCGAGTCTCTAGTCATAAAGCCAGTGGAGCAGGTAGCCCCAGGAGCCAGCTTTGTGAAGATTGTGACTTCCTGGTATGGCAGAAATATCCAAGGTCACCCATGTCAGAGCTTATGAAAATCGAAGTTCTTCCATCTCCTTCCTTCACCAGGTTCTCTCTTATACCCAGCCTTGGAGAGGCCATGGAAGGCATCAGTGATCTCATCATTTTTCCTTAGAATACACATAGCATGAAGACCACTGGTCTGTGAACTGCACATACTACCTCCATGGAGGGAGAATTCACCTTCACAGATGGAAGTGAGGTCTCTGCAGCCCTTTTGCTGGGGCCAAAGGGCCTCCCCACAAAGGAAAAGATTTTCCAGGTCAGCAGCCTCACAGGGCACTCTGCCTCCCACTCAGAAATTTTCACCTGAAGAACTGCGTGTGTGTGTGTGTGTGTGTTTGTGTGTGTGTGTGTTTGTGTGTGTGTGTGTGTGTTTGTGTGTGTGTGGTGGAAGTAAAAGATAAAAGAAAAGGAGAGAATGTTTTTTGTTGTTTGCTTCCGTGGGTGACATATGGCTATATATGCATTTTAGGGGGAATTTTCCATTAGATCATGTGTAGTGACCATGGGATGTTTCTAGGGGAACTTTTGCTTCATATTTATTTCTAAAATATAAAATCCAGAAAAACCAGTGAAAAACAACCAGTGTTTATGTTGAGGTTGCAAAGGCACATTGTTTTGTGCATTTCAAACTCATGCTTATTTTTCCAATGCCAGCCTTATCTTTTATATTTAGAGAAAGTATGGCGCTGGGCATGGTGGCTCATACCTGTAATCCCAGCACTTTGGGAGGCTGAGGAGGGCAAATCACATGAGGTCAGGAGTTTGAGACAAACCTGGCCAACATGGTGGAACCCCATCTCTACTAAAAATACAAAAAAATAGCCGGGCGTCATGCCACATGCCTGTAGTCCCAGCTACTGGGGAGGCTGAGGCACAAGAATTGCTGGAACCAGGGAGGTGAAGGTTGCAGTGAGCCTAGATCGCACCACTGCACTCCAGCCTGGGTGACAGAAGGAGATTCTCTCTCTTAAGAAAAAAGAAAAAGTATGGCATTTAGCTCCTTTACTAAAAAACACATACAGTTCAGTTCTGTCTCTTAATCTATTTCTGAGGATTGTTTCTACCTCTATCTCAAATGCTTTGATGCTCAAATGAGCCCTGGACTTATACATTGAATAATGTTTGAAAGCAGCAACTGTGAAAGCATCGTATTATAAAATCAAAATTTACAATGATGGGTCAATTTAAAGATTGCAAGGCGACAGAGATAGAAAATCAACAACATAATAGACGAGACATTGGCAGAAGTTCACTTGATCATCACCTTTTTTCTTGTGCTTGATGGTTCTGGCAGAAATTCTTTCTAAAAAAGAAAAGAGAGGAATGATTTGATGGGTTCTTGCTTTTATTTTGTGAGCTTAGTGTTTCTGACTGCCTTCCAAATACTCCTACCTGGATATCCCACTATTAACTCAAATTCAAGGTGTTTTCATGGAAATTACTTTTCATGATTCTCCAGGGATTAAAGGAAGCATTTCAATGCCTTGCTCTGGCCTCATGACTTCTACAATGAGTCCAGAGAATGCAGCCACCTCATTACTCCCAATTTCTTGACACACTGTGGAACAGATTTGCGTGCTGTCCTTTCTCTGTAGGTAGAATGCCCCATTCTACATTTTTGCTAGTTGTTTGTCTTTTTAGGCCTACCTCAGTGCAAGAGTTCCACAAAATGGTCCTCAACCTCAAAACCAGAAATGACTTTCTCTTCTCCGAACTATTGTACCTCTTCCTGCAGGTGTCTCTTGTGAGAACACTGACACCCTGTCCAGGCCTGTAATTATGAAAGCACAGCCTTCCTTCTGGGAAGGGGCTCACACTTTGTATACCCTCCATAGCTTTAGATGTGGTTCAATAAGTATTTGCTGAGCAAAGATCTTTTACTTTGTATATTAGTTATTTATTTATTTTTAGAGATGGGGTCTTACTATGTTGCTCAGGCTGGAGTGCAGTGCAGTGCCTACTCACAGCCACAATCCTACTACTGATCAGCAGGGAAGTATTGACCTGCTCTGTTTCCAACCTGGACTGTTTCACACCTCCTCAGGCACTCTGGTGATCCCCTATGTTGATGCTGAACTTAGCATGGACACCTGACTGGCATAGTACACTGCAGCCCAGAACCCCTGGGCTCAAGTGATTCTCCTGCCTCTGTCTTCTGAGTAAGTGGGACTACAGACATATGCCACTGTGCCTGGCAGATCTTTTTTTTAATTGTCAGAGTGGCATGAGGAAGGACTGTCTGTGGGTGTGCAACAGAAAGCACTGTATTTGGAGTTGAAAGACACACGTTCATCTGCAGCAAAGACCCTGTCCCTGCTTTGTAACATCAAGGGGTTGATATGAGAAGCAATGTTACTTTGAAATGCAATTTATTTCTATTCTCTTATAAGAATAAGTTTGAGGTGGCCTATCCAAAGAAATCTTGTTGAAATGATTTGTAATCCAGGAACTACTGAAAGGAATGAGGCACATCCCCCATATATCTCCCAACTTCCTGAGTCCAGCACAAACACATTCCTCCATATTTCTTTCAAACTTCAGAAAAACATCACCTGGGAGATCTCCGATAAGGAATGCTAAATGTATAATGTTAACCAATTGTAATGCTGTAACCGAGAGAATTACCTTGTTCCCTGTAACTTTACATATCCTGTTTACATCGGGCTATAAAAAGCAAGCACTCGCATTGTTCGAGGCCCTCCTGTATGCTGTGGAATGGAGGGACCAAGTTCGAACTTGTAGTAAAGATCCTTGCCGCTTGGCTTTGACTCTGGACTCTGGTGGTCTTCTTTGGGGAACAAACGGTCTGGGCATAACACTACATATATATATGTATATATGTTAAATATATATGTTAAATATATGTGTGTGTGTGTATTTAACATTTACCTCCCCCCCAAATTTAAGACCTCTACTCCAACTTAAGTTACTTTCATGTGACCAAATTCCACAGTTTATTAGTGGCAGAGTCAAGGCCACAATTTACTGTCCAACCTTCAAAAGGGTAAGAAATAAAGTACTTAGAGGATTACGCTGTAATATAAGCCAGCCAACGTAATGTTCAGGTGAGAATGTTAGTAATAACGTATGCATTGAGACCTTGGAAGAGGAAGTCATGATGAATTTCTGGACACTGAGAAATTCTGCTAAAGCTTGGTGTTAGTGAAGCGTGACAGCTAAATCCTTGATTTCAGCCATTTGTCACTAGAATACCTCCATCAGGAACTTCAGGGTGTATCCACCGCAGCGTATACTTAGCTTCCAGTTTTTGGATGCTTCGCGGCCTCCTTCAATTTCGAATTCCCTGGGAGTGAACCACCTTCTATCCTCACTCCGTATACACTTCTTTGAGATTCCTGTAAGACCAAGGCAAGGTGAGCTCCCCAACTGCGAAAACACCTGAACTTGGCCCCCGCCATGCTGGGGTCTGGAGCCTCCCACTTGGGCTCAGGATCGTAGCAGTAGAGTCTGAATTTTCCTGTCAGACATCAGGGGTGTCATACCCAGCCTGAAGGAACAGAGATGAAGGGGACTCTCTTTCGTGTGTGTACATTTCTTTGACCTTCATGCAATGAGAAGAAATATTACTACCCACATTTACCTTTTCAACGTATTTTGCTATATTCCAAAGGTCGGAGGTGGGTGCAAAGGATGGCCCTAAAGAATGAGCAGAATTCCTTCTCCTCCCTCCTCTGAGACCTGATATAGAGTCAGCCTGAATTTCAGAGGTGGATGAAGGCACAAAGCCCTCTGCCATGCTCTTGGGTCCCCAGGTGGCCCTGGGGAAGCTGTTACTACAGCCACGTCTGCCTTGTCTTGTACCATGTTGTTCAACCAGCAAATGACAATGATGTTTCACATTTTGAACTCATGGCTATTTTGTATTAAAAGTAATTATGGAAATGTTATATAGTGGGAGAAGTTAAATTACCCTTATGCAACATAGTCATGGGGCAAACATTTATATTTGTTGGTGCTCAAAGAACTATGTTGTGGGGAGGTGTCAGTCATGACAGATGAACATTAGTTCTGTAATTTAACAATTGTAACTTGCAAAGTATTTTATGTCTGTTATTTTATTTTTTCTCATAATAATACAGTGAGGCAAGTTATATTATTGTTCTGATTTTGTAGAGAAGGAAGTTCAAGGTTAGAGAGACCGAGCACCTGGCTGTACATGAATCAGACACTCTTGGTATAGCTGAAACTTGAATGCAGGTCTTCTGATTCTAAACCTTGTGATCTTATCATTTAGCAGCAGGCTGTACAGATGTTATGGGAAATGGGGCTGTGAAAGTTAGTGCTGAGATTCTCAGATGTGTACATTTTCCACCCAAGTATTAAGGTGCTTGCCCTTGTAGTGGGTGCTAGTTGGATGTCTTGTGGGCCTTTCACATAGGGGAAAGGGGAGATGGCCTCATAGGCTAAGGTTTTATGAATTTTAAAAGTGTGAAAATGTCATTGTTGTGCAAAACAGAGTTAACAGAGTGGGCCTGAGACTTTCCTTAGAGGGCCTATATGCAAGGTTGCCCATTGTCTATATGCAAGCTGGGCCACTGGCATTTAGGAATTTGGATTTTAGGAGAGTTCTATCATTCGCAGAACTCACTGTGGGCTAAACTGTTTGTAATAAACAATATGGATAGACATATTGTTTATCCATAAAGATAAAGCCCTTTAAAGATAAATCCCTCTTATTTATGGTTATAAACAAATGCAATTTATTTATATTCTCTTACAAGAATAAATTTGAGATAGCCTATCCAACGAGATCTTGTTGAAATGTTGTGTAATCCGGGAACCACCTATCCTAATGTATTATTTTCAGACATATGTAAATAAATTGCATTTATCTATAACCGTAAATGAAGAAGAGGGCTCACTGTGCCTAAACTGTTTGCACAAATGATACGGTTTATGCTGAACACCCACTTTCTTTCTGGGAATCTGGAATTTTGGTATGTGCTAGGCAGAGGGCGCCTATGTGACTGGTAAAAACCCTGGACTCCTAAACTCAGGCTGGTTTCTCTGGTAGACAACATTTTACATGTGTTGTCACAGTTTGTTGCTGCAATAATTAAATGAGTCCTGCATGAGTCCACGGGGAGAGGACTCCTGGAAGCTTGCTTTTGGTTGTCTCTGAACTTCATCCCAAGTGCCTTTTCCCTAGGGTATGTTTTGCATGCTTCACTCATAAACCCTAGTTGTAAATATGATGATGTCCCAAGTCCTAGGAAAGCTCCTAGCAAATCATCAAGCCTGAGGCTGGTTTTGCAGACCCTCAAAGCAGGTGTCTACTCCTAAACAGTATGCTATCTGTGTGGATATTTTCCTGCTGAAAATCGTAGATGGACCAGTACACTCACCTTGTTTGAATCGCTCCTTATATAGAGTGCCCTTCACGTCACCACACGTCACAGGAAGTGCAGGTTGTTTAAAATTAATATTTTTATCTCTGGGAATTCTTGGACCTGCAAGGAAGCATTTTTTTTTTTTCCATTCCATCTTATTTTACAACTGTGCGTTGTTCCTCCCCACCTGTCTTGAGAGCTTTCTTTTATAATTTAAAATGCATTGGAGGGATTTCCCCCATGATTCAGTTACATTTCAAAGTCTTTCTTTCATGGCACATTAGATAGCTGTAGATACTGTTGTCCTCCACTCCACCCTCTAAAATACTACACAACAGCCTGGCATGTGGTAGGATCTTAACTTTCAACCTGGTTGGTCATATCCACCTATCACACAATGATTTTCCTCCTGATGTTTTGAAGGGAGATTTCTACTCATATTATTGCTTTGACGTTATGTTAAAAAAAACCCTCAAATTTTAGTCTCATCTCCCCCATTCCAGGCATTGACGGAGGGGTTAGAGGGCAGGATGGCAGAGCGGCACCTAATGGGGCACCTGCTTTGCTTCACTTCCCTTTCACTTGAGCTTTCTCTGCTGCTAAAAGGGAAGCTTGGTGTAGAGGGTTCTAGAAGAAACTGCACATTGAGAGAGGAGGGATAAAGAGAGATTGACGAAGGGTTCAAATATACTGTTAGATAGAAGAAATAAAGCCTGGTGTTTTCAATAGATCAATAGGGTGATTATAATTAACATGAATTGATTATACATCTCAAAATAGCTAAAAGAGAATAATCTGAATGTTCCTGGCATCAAAAAAGGTAAATATTTAAAGTGATGGATATCCCAATAACTCTGATTTGATTATATGAAAGTATCAAATTATCACGCGTACCCCCAAGTATTTTTATCTATTATGTATTAATCAAGCAATCAATAAAAAAGAAAGTGCACATTGCTCGGGGAACCCTGCATGAGCACATGACTGGGGCACTGGGGATCTGGTTCCACTGAAGCAGGTATTGAGGGTATTAAAATGAACTTCTGGTCAACGTTAAGTCTCCAGTACTAGCTCCATATGCAAATTAAGAAAACTGACTTATTACTCACAGTACAGAATATTAAATATTAAATGTCTAATTATGAAAAACATATTGATCATTTCTTTTTACCTCTTTTTCTTCTTCTTTTCAAAGGTCTCTTGTTGGTTTTTCTTCCTGAGAAAGTTGAAACACAACATAAATATTTCTTTGCGTTGCAAATAGTAGTGTTTTACAAAACCACCATTCAAATGCAACTTTTCAGGATCCTGTCTAGAACTTAAAGAAAAACATTAAATGCCTAGGTCAGGAGTTGGGAACTTTTTTTGTAAAGGGACGGATAGTAAGTAGTTAAGGTTTTTCAGTTCATAACCTCTGTTGTGACTACTCAGTTCTGTAGTTGTGTCATCAGTGCATCAAAGGATGCGACTGTGGCTGTGTTCCAGTACAACTTTATTTACGGTCAGCCGGATAGATTTGCCCTGTAGGTCGTAGCTTGCTGACCTCTGATCTAGACTTGATTACAACCATGATGCTTAACTGAGATGCATCCTATATTTCTCTATTAATATCTCCAAATCATTCCAAATAAATTTGAAACAGTATTTTACCTGCTTCCCAAGCAACAGGGGGAGAGCAAGAAAGAAGTTGAACATGTATTCAGTGCTTGTTGTAGGCCAGGAGCTATCCTTAGATCTTTGCCTCTATTAACTGACTTCATCTTTACAACAAAATCTATTAAATAGGCGCTAGTACTATCCTCACTTTACAGATGAGGAAACTGATGCTCAGAGATAAATATATAAATTAAAGTGTTGACAATTTTCTTTGGGAAAGAGTTAGAGATAAAAAGTAGCAACCATAAGGTCGCAAGACAGACCTCATGGTAGACTCTACCAGTCAGATATGTAAACTTGGAAGGTTTTGTACTGAAAATGGTGAGGAAAATGACCAAGGACTTAAAAACTAACCCAATGAAGGCTATTCAAGAGGAACTTGTAGAAATTAAGGCACAAGGCCTAAGAGTTGTATTATTAAAGATAGCACAAAGGATTGACTTAAAAGATATCTTGGGGCCAGGTGCGGTGGCTCACGCCTGTAATCCCAACACTTTGAGAGGCTGAGGTGGGTGGAGTTCTGAGGCTGAGTTCTGAGGCTGAGGTCAGGAGTTCAAGACTAGCCTGGCGAAACTGTCTCTACTAAAAATTAAAAAAAAAAAAAAATAGCTGGGCATGGTGGTGTGTGCCTGTAATCCCAGCTACTCGGGAGGCTGAGGCAGGAGAATTGCTTGAACCCGGGAGGCAGAGATTGCAGTGAGCCAAGATCACGCCACTGTACTCCAGCCTGGGCGGCAGAGCGAGACTCCATCTCAAAAAAGAAACAAACCTTGGAAGCATGTATCTATGTGTTGATCGATGTGTCCAAACCAAGAGCCAGTCATTCCAGATGTATGTTTAGATCTGCATCGTTCTAACGTGTTTGCTGAAGTCAGGGATGCAGAGTGGATGCTCTTTCTTTCTAAAGGTCTGTGCCCATTATTCTGTGCCCATGGCTGGTATCATAGGGTGCTGATTTGGGTCCTGCAGGCCCCGGGAGAAAATTTCCTCCAGATACTCAATCATGCATGCTTCTTCCTTTGAGCAAATTATGACCAGATTAGGTTGGAAAGGCATCTTTCCTTCAATCTAGCATAAAGAAACCTTGGGATTGATGATACTGTATTTTCTGGGCCTCTGACATAACAATTACTTAGAGGTTTTTTTTTTTTTTTAAACTTCATCAAGATAAAAATGGTACCATCAGACATTTACTGATAATTCACATGCCAAGAGGAATCATATCCCGAGAAAAAGCACGCTTTACCGCACAAGATGTTGCCCTTAGGAAGTTTATTAAAATATTACAGAGACACATGGAGAGGAGAGATTACTAAACCTGCATAAAAGAATTATAAACTTGGCTATTGAACTAAAGGTGCCCCCCTTACTTTTTTTTTTTTTTTTGAGACCGAGTTTTGCCCTCTTGCTCTGTTCCTCAGGCTGGAGTGCAGTGGCACAGATCTCGGCTCGCTGCAACCTCCACCTCCCGGGTTCAAGTGATTTTTCCTTCCTCAACCTCCTGAGTAGCTGGGGATTATAGGTGTGCGCCACCACACCCAGCTAATTTTTGTATTTTTAGTAGAGATGGGGTTTTACCATGTTGCCCAGGCTGGTCTTAAATCCAGGGCTCAAGCAATCCACCTGCCTCAGCCTCCCAGAGTGCTGGGATTACAGGTGTGAGCCACCACACCCGGCCTGAACTAAAGGTTTAAAAGAAACATGTAAAATGTGGAAACATGGAGACCTCAAGGAAGCAGATGAAGCTTTCTTACCACTCCTTGCTTGTCTCTCAGAAAAATTTGCTCTAGATTGATCAGTTTCAAAGACCATGATTGTGCCAAGTGTGGTAGTTGATGTGGTTGCCACAGTAAAATGTCATCCACACAGGGGTGGCTCTGTGTGGGACTCTCCTGTCACTCATGATGATCAAGTTGCAGGTGCACCCAGGAAAACCGGCCACTTCTAACTCTTCTCTCCTCCTTCCCCCAACTCTCCCTTCTCCCCACAGTTCCATCAAAAGACACTTGTTCTCTGTCTGCTTTCTTCTTTCTCATAAAGTGATCAAACTGGAGATCCAGCTCTGGCCATAATCTGGGTCTGTTCAGCCCTAGCCATTATTGGTCAATATATAGTCTCTTGCTCTCAGTTTATCTCTGTTTAAATCCTTCTTGGACTGCAGGGATTTCCTTTCAATCAAAACCTATTGAGGGCAAACAGCTTCAGGGCAAAACACCAGAAGCTAATTGCACTGCTTCCCCGCTCTTGGTATGGAGACATCTGGGCTGAGGAGGAGATCATGTGTAATAAAGTGCTGCAGAACTGTGCTTTCCAGTGGTTCTTTGTGTGTTCGCTGGCTCCAGCACCTCACTACAATTGTATATCCAGGCAGTCAAATGCCTGGACACAGTTGGATTTAATTGTTCTTGGGTCTATCAGTTTTAATTCTACATTAACCATGTAAAATAATAATATGGTCAGAAAAAATTAAAAGCTACTTTAAAATATATATTTTTTTCACAACAGGGACTAATCATTTTTGGCAAAAGAGTATATCACCATGTTTAGGTGATTCTTTGGTTATCTCAGAGTATTAGCAGAAGCCTCAACATCCAAGAATGCCACAATAGGAGCCCAGTACTTCTATATTCTAAGGCAAGATGCCAGTCTATCTGCAAAGAACATGGTAGGGGATTGGGAGCCTGGTTCTGCCAGCATCAGCCTTTCCCACCTTCAGGCCTTATGAGAGAGGCCACATTTCTCTGGAGAGAATTGTCAGACACCTTCTCTCAAGCCAAATGAGAAGGTTTAAAGACGTCTAAGCAGGAGATGGACCTCTGTCCCTGGGAATGTCAGGGAATGAGAGACTCTCAGACTCACTGCTGAGAAGCGCAAAGGTGAAGGTCATGGCTAGTTGGGTCAAGGGTGCCAGAGGGCTGAGCTGGGAGCCAGCAGGGAAATAATGAAGAAGCACGATCCCCATGGTCTGCTGCAGACCTCGTGGATGGGAGCTGGACTGGGTGTTTTTAAGAGATACTCTCACTGAGGGAACAGCAGTGGATTGTGTATCTTCTAGAAGGACCATCCAGTATCTTAATTCCCAAGCAGGTTGGCCACCACCAACTATGGAGAGGCAGTTGCATACACTGCTTCTGCCATTCTAGTGGGGGAATTCATAGCCAAAGGAAATATATATACATATCACACACACATCATCAAAAGACACTTGTTCTCTGTCTGCTTTCTTCTTTCTCATAAAGTGATCAAACTGGAGATCCAGCTCTGGCCATAATCTGGGTCTGTTCAGCTCTAGCCATTATTGGTCAATATATAGTCTCTTGCTCTCAGTTTATATCTGTTTAAATCCTTCTTGGACTGCAGGGATTTCCTTTCAATCAAAACCTATTGAGGGCAAACAGCTTCAGGGCAAAACACCAGAAGCTAATTGCACTGCTTCCCCGCTCTTGGTATGGAGACATCTGGGCTGAGGAGGAGATCATGTGTAATAAAGTGCTGCAGAACTGTGCTTTCCAGTGGTTCTTTGTGTGTTCGCTGGCTCCAGCACCTCACTACAATTGTATATCCAGGCAGTCAAATGCCTGGACACAGTTGGATTTAATTGTTCTTGGGTCTATCAGTTTTAATTCTACATTAACCATGTAAAATAATAATATGGTCAGAAAAAATTAAAAGCTACTTTAAAATATATATTTTTTTCACAAAAGGGACTAATCATTTTTGGCAAAAGAGTATATCACCATGTTTAGGTGATTCTTTGGTTATCTCAGAGTATTAGCAGAAGCCTCAACATCCAAGAATGCCACAATAGGAGCCCAGTACTTCTATATTCTAAGGCAAGATGCCAGTCTATCTGCAAAGAACATGGTAGGGGATTGGGAGCCTGGTTCTGCCAGCATCAGCCTTTCCCACCTTCAGGCCTTATGAGAGAGGCCACATTTCTCTGGAGAGAATTGTCAGACACCTTCTCTCAAGCCAAATGAGAAGGTTTAAAGACGTCTAAGCAGGAGATGGACCTCTGTCCCTGGGAATGTCAGGGAATGAGAGACTCTCAGACTCACTGCTGAGAAGCGCAAAGGTGAAGGTCATGGCTAGTTGGGTCAAGGGTGCCAGAGGGCTGAGCTGGGAGCCAGCAGGGAAATAATGAAGAAGCACGATCCCCATGGTCTGCTGCAGACCTCGTGGATGGGAGCTGGACTGGGTGTTTTTAAGAGATACTCTCACTGAGGGAACAGCAGTGGATTGTGTATCTTCTAGAAGGACCATCCAGTGTCTTAATTCCCAAGCAGGTTGGCCACCACCAACTATGGAGAGGCAGTTGCATACACTGCTTCTGCCATTCTAGTGGGGGAATTCATAGCCAAAGGAAATATATATACATATCACACACACATATATATGTATATATGTATATATAGAGAGTCTATATGAAGTTATGTGGCCAGAGAAAGAGTTTTAGGTGTCAAAACTCTTTTAGATGACAAATTTGTCTGTAAATTTGAGCAGGATAACAACAGGCAGTCTGGCAGGAGATGGTGTCTGTCTTCTCTGTTTGCCTCCTCCTTCATGCACCTTTCTCCTGGCTGAAGGAGCAGCTCAGCAGAGTTCCAGAATCATCTGCAAATTGCAGAGGGAGGATGCTTTGCATTTCAGAGCCTCTATGTGGTAGAGGTGGGGACTGAAGAGCTGACTTAGTAGAAACAGGTGTAAAGGTCTTAAAATGAACTTGAGGATGCTGAGCTGCTGTTCCAACCCTTCCAGTCAGTGACACTGGGGAAGAAGCACAGTCTACGAGGGCTCTGTGCTGATGATGCAGTAGAGGGGGCTGTCTATGGTTTTTACTGAGTCCTGTAGGAGATCCACGGAATGAGAAGCCACATGGGAAGCTGGGATGGGCCTTGGAGGGCAGCCAGTCTAGCCTAACTGACCTAATTTCACTTTACAGGTAAGTAAACTGTAATTTACTTGGGGCAGACCCAAGTCCACGCAATTACCACATGGTGATAAGCAAGAGGAGGGACAGCTACATCACTTTTGAATTACACGGGTTTTGTCTGTTTTGTTTTTGTTTCTATGCCAACAACTATTTCTGGCCTTGAAAGTTATCAGTTCAGCAGAGGAAGCACTGCAGGCAGCTCCTGGGCCCTGGGGTCAGGTTGCAGATTCATCACCTAGCTACTTGTTTGTGGTGTTATCATCTTTTTTTCCCTGACATATCTTGGAACTTGACTAAATCTGATATATTTCTCAACAGTAAGTACAGTGACATAAAGCAATTAGGAAAAAAATGTTTTTTACTAAGAGCATGAACATTTACACATTATTTATTTAAAATGTATTATTTTTTTTACCTCTTGGTTGCCGTCTTTCCTTTGGGACTTTGTTATTCCGAGTTAAGTGTTTTCTATGTCTGTGTTTCTTTCTCCCTGAGAAAATAGGAAAATATAAATATGGATGGTGTAAAAAACTCACATTATATATAATAGTGCTTTCAAAAATTTTATTTAGCTATAACTTTTCCAGAGCTTAACACACAAAGAAAAATACGTCACACATAGCCTTGCAATGCCCAAGCCTTTGGTGGTTAACCTGGGTTCATCCTAGATTTTCTTTTCCTTACTGTGACATTAATCCAAATTCATTTGTCCCCCTACATTAATTTTAAAAAGAACTTAAGACAGTTTCATTTATATCCCAAAGAATACTGTAAGAATAATAATGATGATGAGGGCTAAGACTTAAGTGCTTATTATGTGCTAGACATGAATACAAGATATGTACATCTACTAATTCATTTATGAGATACAGACTTTTACTCCCCCTATTACCAATGAAGAAACTTCAGCATACAGGTATTGCAATATGAAGTGAAGCATTGCAGATTTCCTCTGGTTGTGAGGAAATCAATGGCAGCAACGCAAGAATTTGGATTGTCCCACTCATTTTGATGGTGAGACACCAGCCACCATCTTAGCCCTCAGTGAAGGCGTTGAGGCTGAAAATACAGTGAAAATGACCAAAGACCTTATTCACATAGGTTTGGCCAAAAAATTAGGATCTAAGGAACTAACCAAGAGACTATTGCCCAAGGGGAATTTGTATAGAGATTCAAGTCCCAGAAAGCCTCGTGGTTAGGACTAACAAAGGGTTGATTGAAACCCTATCTCGGGGGTATGCTGTTAGATTCAGCAGGTGATGGGGGTAGGTAGAAAGACAGTGAGGTATGTGCAGGAGCACCTCATGAGTGCCATGTTTAAAGGTGCTGATCTCTCAGGCAAGGCCATAAAGTTCCTCTCCTCTCCTCTCCTCTCCTCTCCTCTCCTCTCCTCCCCCCCCCCCCCTCCTCTCCTTCCCTTCATCCTTCCCTCCCTCCCTCTTTCCCTTCCCATGCTGTCTCCCTGTATTTTTCTTTCCTTTCTTTCTTTCTATGACCTGGCCACAATTTGAACTTGTCCAGCCGTAGATATCTTAGACAAACAAAGACTCTTTTTCTGTCCCTCTATGTCTTTGGTCCTGTTGTAGTCGCCTGTCATCAAAGTCCATTGAGGACAAACAAATTAGAGGTGTACAAGTAGTTTAGTTCAGTTTACTTGAGTTCTACTTACAAGGAGATTTGGAGCTTAAGATCTGCTAATACTATGGAGCTCTTGGGACTTCCTTTGTAATTATTCTATGCAAATTGTCTTGCTCAAATACCCCACAGGAAGTAGTGTGGCAATTCTTGGATTTCCTATCCAAGTGCTAACAGTTAACACCATGTTCTTGCTATAGAAGTTGAGTAACGTGCTCCTGCCTCCTTAAGGCAACTGAGAAGACTACAACTTCAAGGTAACTGATCTTCACCTTCAGGAGTTTGAGGAAGGCAGAGACATTTATAGACTCAATCCTAGAATGTCGAGAGGGTCTGAAGAGTCATAATTCCTATAGGTCTCCCTGGGGAAAGGAGGAGCTCACTTAGTTCTTCTTGAGAGATATTCTGTCTGGGAGAATCACTTGGGTGGATGAGTTGACCCCAGCAGGAGTGTCGTGTGGACCTCCCAGAGCTGGGAGACTGAGGGAATTGGTAAGCGGCCAGTTGAAGTTCCTGAATTAGGGGAACTTCAGTTGAGAGGTTCTCTCTAAGTTGAGTGTCTCTGAAGAACTCACAAATGAATATGGCTCATGCATCCACCAATATCTCGGAGACACAAAAATCTGTAAGGTTGGTGCAAAAGTAATTGCAGTTTTTGCTATTCCTTTTTTTTTTTTAAGGTAAAATCCACAATTACTTTTGCACCAAGCTATATAGTATGAGGGCCATTCCTGCTCCTGTCCACTTCTTTCTCCCCCTCCTCCTAGACCCAAATTAGTTGAAAGCAATAGACACTCAGTGGAGGTGGAGAGGAAGTGTGGATGAAAGGAAATGCTGACTTCACCCAGCTTCCCTACCACATGGTTTCCAGTTTTAATATTATATCAGCTCAGGCTTTTAAATATTAAATGAGATATTACTGCTAAAAGGGACTAGCATAGCTCTAGGGCTTACCTAAGACTTCATTCATGGGCAAGAAAATAACTATTTGAGAGAACAGATTTGAAAAGTAAGTAGAAGGAATAAATGTGATTTCTGCTTAGACTTAACAAATCCAAGTATTTTAATAAAATAGTTAAAGTAGGGAGGCTTCCATAGAAACCAGTAAAAACATGAAGGAAGAAACATCTCAGACCTGGGTAAGTACAAACTAGAATATAACCAAGATGACAGATAGGTATAGAAATAAAAATGACAGAGATGCTGGAAATATTACATGTATATACCTACTTACAGTAGAGTTATATTTAAAGTTATATTTGAAAATAGTTATATCACATATAAACATATGTATATATGTGTATGAGTGACAGAAATAATTAGAAATCATGGGAAAAAATATATCCAAATACGCTTTAGCTCTAGAGGAAAAAGTGCTGCCATCTCTACAGTGCCATATCAACTTGCCAGAAATATTTTACAAGATGTAAAACAAAAAAAATAAGGTAGGCAAGAGAAACATAAGTAGAATGGGAGAGGGAAGGAAATAAAGGAGAGACAAAGAAGAGGAAGGAAAGGAGGAATGCAATAAACATAAAATCCACAAGATCTGATGAAGAGAATGGAGTGTCACATCTTTTTTATCTTCAAGTGCGCAGTGTGGCATATGCTCTGATTGAGTTTGGTTCACTGCCTGTAATCCCAGCATTTTGGGAGGCTGAGGCAGGTGGATTACCTGAGATCAGGAGTTCAAGACCAGTCTGGCCAACATGGCGAAACCCTGTCTTTACTAAAAATACAAAAATTAGCCTGTAATCCCAGCTACTTGGGAGGCTGAGGCAGGAGAATTGCTTGAACCTGGGAGGCGGAGGTTGCAGTGAGCTGAGATCGTAGCACTGTACTCCAGCCTGGGTGACAGAGGAACACTCCATCTCAAAAAAGAAAATAAATGAATAAATAAAATAAAATAACCCCGTGTTTCTCAGGCTTCAATCTGATGTGGCACCAGTACTCTGGCTTCCATGTAATTGATTCAAGTTATCTCTGTTCTGTCCCAGACTGTATTAGTTACAACACACCTTTCTAACACTTCCTCCTGTTGCCTCATTTCCTAATCAGGCCTGGCATGTCTCTGCCCACATAGCTCTGTCATGCCTCTCAGCTTCCGGCTCCTGTGCTTGCCAAAGAGTCTCAGGTGACAAAATGGCTGGATCTGAATCAACGGAGAGTCTGAGTTTTCCTCTTTATTTAAGGGAATCAGTGACTTTGGAGGCAAACATGAAGGGCAAGTAGGCATATTGCTATTTGTCACCCATAATCATTCCTTCTTCCATAAGAATAGACTTACAGCTGAACCAAAGACTGCCTGGCCAGCGTTACATTTCTCAGCCTCACTTTGCAGCTAGCTCTGGCCATGTAATCAAGTTTTGGCCAATGGAATGTTGGCAGAAGACTTCTGAGTCTTTCTATTAAAATAAACAAATGGCTGGTTCTTTTGTCAGTTTTTTTTTTTTTTTCTTTCCCACTGGTTGGGAGACAATGTCGACCAGATCAGCCCTTGTGGACCCACAGTTGGAAACTTCATGTCAAGGAAGGCAGACTGCCTACCACTTCTGGGCTCTCAGATTATTTGTTTTAAGCCACTGTATTTTGAGATCTGTTTGTTACAATGACTTAGCTGGTACTCTAAATAATCCATTGGGTCTGAAGCTACCATGGCCCATAGGAGATTTTGAGGCTGCAGCAAGGATGGGGTCTGGCAGGAAGAACAGGACCACAGCGAGTTCAAAGGAGTAAATCCCCACATTTCTTCTTACCTCTTTGGAGACCATTTACTTTAAGTATATGTTTTCTCTTTTTTCCTGCACACAGAAAAGAAAGAAAATAATCTTCTATAACTGTAAACAAAGATCTGCACACTTTTTATGTCAATAGTTTCCAAGTATTTAATTTTGTTTTCCTTCCACTTTTGTGGGGCTAAGTCCTCGGCTACCAACATCCCATCTTGGTTGTTGTCACAGAGAAACCAGTAACCACAAAGCAACCTGTTTTCACACAGTGTTAGTTATTTACACTATGCTTGTACATATCCATATGTGGTCTTATCATTCACAATAAAGAAAGATTTTAAAGTAGCTGAAATCAAGCAGGAGGTGACAGGAGCGGCAGAAGAGTACCAGGAGGGTCAAACAATAGTAGGTCTAAGAAATCACCAGTGATGACCGGGCACAGTGGCTTGTGCCTGGAATCCCAGTACTTTGGGAGGCCAAGGTGGGTGGATCACTTGTAGGCCAGGAGTTTGAGACCAGCCTGACCAACATGGCAAAATCCTACCTCTACTAAAAATACAAAAATTAGCCTGGAGTGGTGCCATGCACCTGTAGCCCCAGCTACTTGGGAGGCTGAGGCAGGACAATTGCTTGAACCTGGAAGGAGGAGATTGCAGTGAACTGTGATCGTGCCACTGCACTTCAGTCTAGGCGTTAGAGTAAGACTCAGTCTCAATAAATAAATAAATAAATAAATAAAATACAAAAAGAAAGAAATTACCAGTGAAGTACACTTCATGGAATTCAGAGGCATGCTTTGAATAGCTAAGGCTGTAATTGTGTTTATAACAGCCAGACCTTAAGAAATAAGTAGAAAAAAAAATCAGAGAAATGAAGACAAATTTAGAAGAAAAAGGAGATGAGGCATTTCAGAAATTAAAGTGAAGGACATCTATTACAGAAATACGAAAAGGAAACAAGAAATATTAAGAATGATTAAACAAATTAGAAATCAAGCTGGGCGCAGTGGCTCACCCCTGTAATCTTAGCACTTTGGGAGGCTGAGGCAGGTGGATCACCTGAGCTCAGGAGTTTGAGACCAACCTGGCCAACATGGCGAAACCCCGTCTCTCCTACAAATAAAAAAATTAGCTGGCATGGTGGCACATGCCTGTAGTCCCAGCTACTTGGGAGGCTGAGGCAGGAGAATCACTTGAACCTGGGAGGTGGATGTTGCAGTGATCTGAGATGACTCCATTGCACTCCAGCCTGGGTGACAGAGTGAGACACTGTTTCAAAAATAAAATAACATAAAATAAAAATTAGAGAGAAAATAATCAATGTAAGTGAACAAATTATTGGAGTTCCCAAAGCAGAAAATCAAAATAATAGAAGAAATACTTGATGAAAAAAGTTTGTGGAATTATAATATAAATTGAAATGTATATATCAAAAGTACCTATCTCTTCACCCTGTCACAGAGAAATTGACCCAAAATAGCCAACACTGAGATATATTTCCAACACATTTATTGGACTTTAAAGATAAAGAAATAATTGAATGGGCAGTGTAGGCAAAAAGTTATTTTCAAGGGAGACTTATTGGCCACAAAATTTTCCACAGCAGCTTTTAAAGCCACAGGAAAGTGGAGAAAAACCTGTAAGATATTTCTAGAAATAAAGAATGAGCAAACTATTTTTCAGGTATAAATAACACAAACAAATTTGAACAGAAAAATTCTTGGAATGTAGTTTCTGAGTCCTCATTACTAGAAGCTGTACTTCAGCAAACTATGGTAGAGCTGAAAATTCTGGCAAAAGGACCAAAATAAAAGTGGGCAGTAGGGTGACAGATGACAATATGAAGTGCATACGCTCTGACAATATAGAAATAGTATAATAACAACAAATATGAAGAGGAGAAGGGTTAGGTGCAGTGGCTCATGCCTGTAATCCCAGCACTTTGGGAAGCATAGGTGGAAAGATCACTTGAAGCCAGAAGTTTGAGACCAGCTTGGGCAACCTAGCAAGACCTCGTCTCTACAAAAAATTTGAAAGAATTAGCAAGCTATGGTAGTGCACACCTGCAGTCCTAACTACTCAGGAGGCTGAGGTAAGAGGATCACTGGAGCCCAGGAGTTAGAGGTTGCAGCTAATATTGCACCACTGCCCTCTAGCATGGGTGACAGAGTGAGACCCTGTCTCAAACAAAACAAAACAAAACAAAAACAAACAAACAAAAAACAGGGAGGGGAGAGCAAAAATAGGCTGTAGAGCAAGTTCTTTGTTTATTTTAAAGGTAGGAGTCCAAAGGTATTGTGTTGACAAATCCAAGAGTGGATGTAAAGCAAGGTTAATGGCTGAAAGGTAAACATAGTAATGTCATGGCCTAAAATTGGGTGGGAGAGGAAAAAGACTGGACAATGGAATGGCACACAGGCTGATTTTATAAATCTTCTGGGCAGGAAACTAAAGGGTACTGTCTAAAATAGAGCACCAAAGGAATCATATAAAGGTAATCCTAAAAGTAATCACTAGAACAAAATGCAAACCTTCTTTAAATTGGAAGTATACACTCCTAACCACTGAGAAAATACGAAATGAGTGTGGGCTGCTTACCCATTCATTTATTTCAAGGGCAAGACTCAGAGGTGGCTCACATATCTTCTGCTCATATGCCATTGGCTAGAACCTAATGACATGGTCACAGTGAACTGTAAGGAAGGCTGAAAGTATAGTGATATGGTTTGGCTCTGTGTCTCCACCCAAATCTCATGTTGAATTGTAATCCCCAGGTGTTGGGGGCGGGCCCTGGTGGAAGGTGATTAGATCACAGGGGCAGATTTTCCCTTTGCTGATCTTATGATAGTGAGTTCTCACAAGATCTGGTGGTTTAAAAATGTGGCACTTCAGCAGCCAGCACTGGAACTCACAACTGCCTAAAATGCTAAGTTCCCTTGGCAGGGGAAGGGTGGCATCCATCTCTACAGCTCCAGGCCATGCTTTTCCTCAGCTGGAGCCAGGGAGACTGGACGGCTTGGTCCCAAGACATGTCCCCCGAAGTCCAACACACTGGCTGTGGCCTACTGCAGCCAGAGTGCCTCTTCAGGCCTGACCCTGACTCACCCTTCCTCACTGGATGGGGCTTCCCTGCAGGAACTCCAATAACTCCAGTCAGAGGCTCAGGGACAGAACCCAGATCTCCTTGGGCCTGAGCCCATAGAGAAAAGGCCACAGTCTCCATGAACCAGCAGACTTAGCCTTTCCTCCTGGTAGTTCTGAGGAATCCGGGCAGCCCAGACAACTTGGTTTCCCCCCAGCAAAGCACACCTCCTACACCAAGGGACAGTCATTGTGCTTCATTGAATAAAGCCTCCAAGAAATATGGGACTTTATAAAAAGACCAAACCTACGATTGATTGGAGTACCTGAAAGAGATGGGAAGAATGGAAACAAGCTGGAAAACATACTTCAGGATATTATCTAGGAGAACTTTCGCAACCTAGCAAGGCAGGCCAACATGCAAATTCAGGAAATACAGAGAACACCACCTAGATAATCCATGAGAAGGTCAATCCCAAGACACATGATCATCAGATTCTCCAAGGTCCAAATGAAGGAAAGACCAGAGAGAAAGGCCAGGTCACCTACACAGGGAAGCCCATCAGACTAAACATTAGACCTCTCAACAGAAACTCTACAAGCCAGAAGAGATGGGGTGCCAATATTCAATATTCTTAAAGAAAAAAATTTTCAATACAGAATTTCATATCCAGCCAAACTAAGCTCCATAAGTGAAGGAGAAATAAAATCCTTTTCAGACAAGCAAATGCTGAGGAATTTTGTTACTACTAGGCCTGCCTTGCAAGAGTTCCTGAAAGATGCGCTAAATAAATAAAGAAAAAGCCAGTACCAGCCGCTGCAAAACACACTAAAATATAAAGACGAATGACACTATGAAAAAACTGCATCACCTAGTGTGCAAAATAACCAGATAGCATCTTGATGACAAGATCAAATTCATTCATAACAAACTAACCTTAAATGTAAATGGGCTAAATGCCCATAAAAGACACAGACTGGCAAATTGGATAAAGAGTCAAGACCAATTGGTGTGCTGTATTCAGGAGACCCATCTCACCTGCAAAGACATGCATAGGCTCAAAATAAGGGAATGGAGGAAAATTTACCAAGCAAATAGAAAGAAGAAAAAAAAAGCAGAGGTTGCAATCCTAGTCTCTGATAAAACAGACTTTAAACCAATAAAGATCAAAAAAGACAAAGAAAGGCATTACATAATGGTAAAGAGAAAAATTCAACAAGAAGAGCTAACTATTCTAAATATATATGCACCCAATACAGGAGCACCCAGATTCATAAAACAAGTCCTTAGACTCTCACATAATAATAGTGGGAGACTGTAACACCCCACTGTCAATATTAGATCAATGAGACAGAAAATTAAGGATATTCAGGACTTGAACTCAGTTGTGAATCAAGTGGACCTAATAGACATCTACAGAACTCTCCACCCCAAATCAACAGAATATATATTCTTTTCAGTGTCACATGGTACTTATTCTAAAATCGACCACATAATTGGAAGTAAAACACTCCTCAGCAAATGCAAAGAACTGAAATCATAACAGACTGTCTCTCAGACCACAGCACAATCAAATTAGAACTCAGGATTAAGAAACTCACTCAAAACCACTCAATCACATGAAAATTGAACAACCTGCTCCTCAATGACTCCTGGGTAAATAATGAAATTAAGGCAGAAATCAGGAAGTTCTTTGAAACTAATGAGAACAAAAAGACAATGTACCAAAATCTCTGGGACACAGCTAAAGCGATATTAAGAGGGAAATTTATAGCACTAAATGCCCACATCAGAAAGCTAGAAAGATCTAAAATCAATACCCTAATATCACAATTAAAAGAGCCAGAGAGACAAGAGCAAACTAATCCAAAAAACCAGGAGCTGGTTATTTGAAAAAATTACCAAAATAGATAGACTGCTAGATAGGCTAATAAAGAAGAAAAGAGAGAAGAATCAAATAGACACAATAAAAAATGGTAAAGGGGATATCA